GAATGTAACTGTATTATTTACTATGTATTGATTTATTTAGTTTTTGTTGAGACAAGGTCTTGCCAAGTTGCTAAATGGCCTCGGCTGAGCTCAAACTCACAGCCTTCTTGCTTCGGCCTCGCCCAGTGCAGGGCTTGATTACCCCTGTGCTGGACACACTCATGTGCCAGTAGGGTGGGAGTGCTGCCGAGCACACCCAGATCTCTGAGCTTAAAATTACTCTTACTATTTGTGCTTCCCAGTACAATTTGATAATTTCCTAGGTGTCTGGAACAGTTTTGAAGAAAACTTAAATTATCAAAGGAAAGCAACTAATAACATATAAATTATTTCTTACTTGCATATTTATCATAAAGAATTAGAGGTAAGGGTTTTTTTTTTTGGTCGGGGGAGAATTGCCTTTAAGATAAAAATTTCACTCAAACATCCAGAATTCAAATTTCTCTTCATGTCAGTACGTGGCACATATTTCAAGCTATGCTTGACGCTAACTTCTAGTCACTTTACTTCGGCTAACTAGGGGTGTTGTATATGGTGTAGAGATCAGTTTTAAGGATGTTCAAAAGACCTTTAGCATAAATAACATGAATACGAATACCAGCATATTTAGTAGAATAATAAATCAATAGAAATATATACATTTAGAAAGTTTAGGCAATTTCTTATGTCTTATTGCTGTGATTTTCAGAGCTTGCTTTAAGTTATAAAATCGTTTGTATATTTTCGTGTGTGTGTGTGTGTGTGTGTGCGTGTGTGTGTGTGTGCATGTGTGTGTCTTCCCAGTATAGAAAGGTTTTGAAAAAGGGGTCGGTATTCAAAATATGCCTGGCAATTGCTAGAAGAACCCAACAAATGGCCCCACAGTTCCACGCAGGACCAGACTGTGCATTAGGTGTGCTGTTTGTAGACCTGCCTGCTGTGACAGGATGGCCCGGGGCTCTTTCACCCACTTCTGCTTTTAGGGTTGTGTTAGGCCTTACGGCATAGGACCCAGAGTCCAGAGTATATGTGTTTTCCTTTAAACAAGGTAGATTAACAATGCTATTTTTATTTATGTTTACCTAATAATTAGTGACAATGAACAATTTTTTGTATATCAGTTGGACATTTGTATGTTTTTTGAGAAAAGTTTGTTCAAGTTGTTAGCTTAATTTTCAATATAGTTACTAGTTTTTAAAAATTGGGTGGGAACTCCTCATATATTTTGTCCTCTTTGTATTTTGCCTTTTCACTCTTTTATTTCCTCTCATGCGCAGAAACTTTTTATTTTGATAGAGCTTCACTTTTTGTTTTTTATGTTGTTGCTTTTGGTGTTGGTGTCAATCCCTAAAATCGTTGCGAAGACCAGTGTCAAAAAACATGTACCTTTTGCTTTCTTCTAAGAGTCTCGTGGTTTTTATCTTGTGTTTAGGTACGTAGTAGATTTTGAGTTGGGTTTTGCATATGGTGTAAAATAGATGTCCAGTTTCGTGTTGGGCCACGAGGATGTCCCGTTTCCCCGCGTGGTATGTGTCATTGGCACCCTGTTGAAGAACGCCCAGCTGTGGACACACGGGCTTGCTTCTGGGCTCTCTGTCCCACTTGCCTGCCTCTGCACGGTGCCACACTGCTCCACAGCTTCGCTCTTCCTCAAAATTAATTTGAGTATTTGTGCTTTTTTCCTAGTGCCACATGAATCTTAAACATTTTGTGTTTTTATAAAAATCCTTGTGATTATTTGTGTATCGTTCAGCTTCTTTCATCAGTGTTTGGTGGTGTTCAGAATGTAGATCTTCTACCTCTTGGTTTTCTTCTATTTTATTCTTTCGGTGCTATTAGAAAAGAGACTGTTTTCCAGGTCATTTGTCGTGAGTGTAGACAGACACCACTGGCATTTGAAGGCTGGTTTTTGTATCAAACAGTTATGCTGGGTTTGTTTTTTAATTTCAACAATGTTAAGGCACTTTTAGAGTTTTTTTTTTTTTTTTTTTTTTTAAACATATAAGAGCATGTCATTTGAGAACAAAGATGGCTTATTCTTTTCTGATTTGGATGGCTTTTATGTATTTTTCTGGTCTAATTGCTTCAGCTAGGACATCTAATACCACGCTGAATAGAAACAGTAGGACTGGTCCCCTTCGTTTTGTTTTTTGTATTAGAGGGAAGGCGTTCAGTCTTTCAATGTTAGAAACAGTGCTAGCTATTGTATGGCACGGGATGATGTCAGCTGTGTTACCTAGAGTTGAATTCTATGTTGTAGAATTGGTTTCCTTTCAGGAAGGGTCTTCTCTCATTTTCTTATTTGCTTTTCATGTTTCATAGCTTTTCTGCTCCTTCTTTCCTATATGGTTTGGGTTTCTTTTTTATGTATTTAGTAGATGGTCTACAGGGTCTCACTACACAGATCAGACTTATGATGGTCCTCCTGTTTTCAGCCTCCCCAGCTCTGGGATTGCGGACGTGTGCCGTGACACCTGCACTTGGTGGTGGGTTTGCCGTGCACAGGAGCAGGGCCAGCGTGGATGTGGTGCCGGGGATTGAAGCCTGGTCCTTGTGCTTGCCTGAGCAGGCGCTGGGGCCCCTGAGCTATCTCACCAGCCCTTGGGTTTCTTTTTTATTTAGTTGATTTTTTTTTGTTAGTGCAATATTTAAATTTTATTATTTCTTCTTCTGTATATCACATATCTATTTTCTTTGCAGTTACCTTGGAGATTAATATTGTGCAGTTACATACCCTAATTTTGATTCATAGTACTTTAACATTAAAAATATGTAAGAATGCTCTCTGTTTCTCTCTCCTTTCAATTAGTGTTCCACAATTTGATCCTATACACTCTGAGCCCCTAAAACATAAACTAGCAATTCAATATATTAGTTTCTTAAATTACCCTGAGATCAAGATGCAGAGTCATAAACTGTAATTACGATAATATTAGCTTTCAGACAGATACTTGCCTTTTAAACAAATGTATGAGTCTATTAAATTATGCAGAAAACAAAAAAGTAGAGTTACAAATTATTGTTGCAGCAATTCTGGCTTTAGTGGCCGTGAGTTTTCATTTACTGAGATCTTTGTTTCCTCAGACAGCTTTCAGGTTTTCTCTGGTGACCTTTCATCAGCCTGAAGGAGCTCTTTTACCATTTCTTTTTCTTTTTATTTTTTGGCAGACCTGGGGACTGAACTCAGATCCTTGCGTTTGCCAGTCAAGCGCTTAGCCTACTGAGCCATCTCCCTGGCCTCTTTTACCATTTCTGTAGAGCGGCTCTAATGACAATGAATGCCCTTAGCTTTGGTCTATCCGAGGATGTCTTAATTTATCTCATATTTAAAGGACAGTTTTGCCAGTTGAAGAATTCTTGGCTGACTTTCAGTGTAGCAGCCCGTTGCCTCACAGCATTCCACGTTATGGCTGAGAAGCTTGCTGATAATCTTGCTGAGGATTCTTAGCGCATCACAAGTCACATACCTGTTGCTTTTGAGAATCTCTCTGTGCGTTTGTTGTTTTTGATAGTCAGATTATAATGTCTTTCAGTTTTAGTCTTTTCAGTTCATCCCTGTTAGAATTCATTTCATTTCTTGGAGGTCTGTGTTCATAACTTTCATAGTAGATGAGAATGTTAAAACCATTATTTCTTCAAATACCCCTTCTCTTTTTTCCCTCTTTTGGGATTTCCAGTGTATAAGTTGTTTCAGTTAATGGTATCACACAGGGCCTATATGCCGTGTTCTTTAATATGTGCCCGATTTGGTGTCTCTCTCTCTCTCTCTCTCTCTCTCTCTCTCTCTGCTTACTTAAATCATTTTTGAATCCTTCCTCCTTCTAGTGAATTTTTTTGTTTCAGGTGTAGTACTTTTAAGTTCCAGAATTTGTTTTATTTAGCTTTTAATATTTTCTCTCACTTGCTGTTTCCATTCTGGCCATGTACTCTTTTTTCCTGACTTTCTCTAGTTTTCAAACACCTATGTGGCTAATGTCCTAAAGTCTTTGTCTACTAGATCTACCACTAGATTTTCAGTTCTTTTTTTAAGATTTATTTTGATGATTCTGAACAAGTCATTCATTTTTATTACTTTTATGCTTTTTTGTTGTTGTAGGTACACATTTGAATCTAATAATGTGATAACGCTGGAAGTCATATTATTTTCTCCCAGAATTTGCTATTTTATTGTTACTTTTTAAATTTCTGTAGACTCTCCCTGTGTTGTGGATCATCCTAAGGCATAAACTTAATAGTCTTCTGAGATCTTTCCTGAGTCTTCTCCACTTCCTGGAAATGCAAGGCAACTTTTTATTTTCTCTTCTATGGGTGGTTCTTTTTGAATGCCTCACTCTTTACTGTCTGTCACCCAAAATGGTAAAGAGAGGAATGAAGGGGCGAAAATGTTGGCCCTGTAATTACTCTGTCAGTCACTTTAGCTGGCATGGGGTGGGAGCGGGGGAGGGCTGCTTGCAGCAGTGTGTGTGTAGAGGCGCAACAACGGTCACCTGCACTTTGTCTACACTTTATATCAAAAGTCAGAAATCAGAATGGAGCTATCTGTCAAATATCTGGAGGGCAGTGTTCTTTTTTTTTTTTTCTAATAAAAAATTGTATTAGAAGCATTCAGAATGTCAACAAAACAGTTGCAACTTTTTTTTTCAATTGCAGAGTGGTATTCAGTTAAGAGAACAACAGTTACTTCCTATAAGCTGCATCAGAGACAAATGAAGATGAAAGCTACCGCCCGTATACAACCAGTCTGTGCTGTGCACCCGCAAGAACCTGCTTCCAATTCCGTGCCCGCTACAGCCCCCAGACTGCACCAGGCCAGGTTAGCGGCTGCTGAAAATACCACCGGGACAGGGCTACCTAAAGACACATTCAGGAGTGTGTTAACTATACAAAAAAGATACTGTACGGTTTAAAAACAAATCTTACACAGCCATTCGTTTCAATTTTTTTTTCTTCAAAAGGAGTGAGTTGTGTACAGGGGAGTTAAATACTTTATAGACAAGAAAAAAAACTGCGCTAGAACCAACTTATTCATCATCATCCTCTTCTTCATCCTCCTCATCCTCTTCTTCATCTTCTTCTTCCTCTTCATCCTCATCTTCCTCATCCTCCTCCTCTTCCTTCTTTTTCTTGCTTTTTTCAGCCTTCACGACTCCCTTTTTTGCTGCATCAGGTTTTCCTTTAGCCCGGTAGGCAGCGATGTCCTTTTCATACTTCTCCTTCAGCTTAGCAGCCTTCTTCTCGTAGGGCTGCTTGTCGTCTGCTGCAGTATTAGTCCACATTTCTCCAAGATTCTTTACAACTTCACCAGTGGAGAGGCCAGGATGTTCTCCTTTGATTTTTGGGCGATACTCAGAACAGGACAAGAAGAAAGCCGAAGGAGGCCTCTTGGGTGTACTGGGATCCTTGAACTTCTTTTTTGTTTCTCCTTTAGGAGGAATATACGTTTTCATTTCTCTTTCATAACGAGCCTTGTCCGCCTTTGCCATATGTTCAAGTTTTCCCTTTTCTTTAGCAGACATGGTCTTCCACCTCTCTGAGCACGTCTTAGAAAACTCTGAGAAGTTAACGGAAGCGTCTGGGCGCTTCTTCTTGTGCTCCTCTCGGCAAGTTCGCACAAAGGATGCACAGGATGACATCTTGCCCCTCGGCTTCTTAGGGTCTCCTCTGCCCATGTTCACTTGTTTTCCTCAGCGAGGTACGGAGTCACCAGTGATGTCCGGCTCTCACTTGCCCCGGCGCTGTCTCTATGGAGCTCAGTGTACTGCACTGCTGTGTGTAGGGGGGCAGTGTTCTTCTTACCGTCGTGGCCCCCACAAATGACAGGTTGCTGCAGGTTCCCGCTATGGGGCAGGCCATAGGGAATGGATGTCTGTCGTCGTGCTGACAAAACAAGTGAAACAAATCACATTTGCCATGCAAGTCTTCACCTGAAAATTGCAAGCCTTCAATAGACTTCAAAATTTCAAAATAGGTGCATCTGGCAGATTCCGCCAGTGTAATTGCGTAGGTGGAGAAATAGATTCATCGTATTTTCTACTCTCTCACCTTCCAAGAAACTCTCTTCTCTTTGATTTTTTGAAGGACAGTTGGCTTGGGTGTAACATTCCTCCTTGGCAGTCATTTATTTCTACAGCAGTGTCCTTGTCCCTTCTGAGCTGCATGGTTTCTGGTAATGGCCCACTGGTAAGACAGTCTTACAGGATTCTCTTGTGTGTGATAAACTGCTTTTGTCTTTCTGCTCTCAAGATTCCCTTTGTTACATCTTTTGGAAGTTTCACTGTAATGTGTCTCCATGTGGATTTCCTTGGGCTTGTGTTGCCTGGTATCATTTGGGCTTCTCGGGTCTGAGTGTTCACTTTCCTCCTCAAAACTGGAGACTTCAGCCATTCTTATCCTGACTAACCTTTCTGGCCTTTTCCCTCTTTCTTTGCCTTTTAGCGTACATAAGCATATACAGGATGTGTTAGTCCTCTTGATGGTGCCCCATAATGCCCTGAATTTCCTCTCCCTTTTCTCTTCTCCGACTGAGTTATTTTCTGTGGCTTACGTTTAAGTTGGCAGATTCTTTCTTTTCCATGATTCAGTTTGAATTTCTCTCGTGGACATTTCAGTTCAAGTATTGTGCTCTATTGTGGTTCTGCGCAGTTTAGTATTTTTTTTCTCTGTTGAAATTTTTGCTCTGGTCACACATACTTTCCTGACCTTGTGAACAATTACATTAAAGCCATTTTAAGTTCTCTATCAGGTGAATGCACATAATTCCATTAACTGGAGTATATAGTGTTCTTTATTCTCTTTATTTGTATTATCTTTGCCTTACTTGCTGTTCCCGCTCCCTGTGCTGCTATCTGTATATTAGAGAAAACAGGCAGCTTTCCAGTCTTCCTGGAATGGCTTCGTACAGCGAAGACCCCACTGACAAGCCTGCATGGAGACTGTTTGCAGGCCTGCCCCGACATTTGCTTTCACCCTGGAGAAACTAGCCGCTGTTTTTGTGCCCACTTGCTGTGTGCTGCATTGCAAGTAGGTGTGGAGTTGGTGTCCTCTAGCCCAGCCTGCCCTCTCTATTCTCTCCTAGGTGGCGAGACTGTCCTGGACCCACGAGGGCTGCAAGATGGTTACAGCGTATGCCATTACATTAGGCAGACCTGGAGAACTGCAACTCTGGACGCACACATTATCTGTCCCCCCAGGAAGAGATGAGGGCTGGATTTCATAGCCTCTTTACCGTGTGCTTTGTGGGGGGCAGCAGCAATAGTCTCTAGCAAGGCAGGCCTCTATCTGTGGTCTCCCAGGGGTGGCTAGACTTTGCAAATCTTAGCAGAGTTCTTCCTAGTCTGATAGGCTAGGAAGTATTCCTGGAGAAAAGGTAGGGTGCCAGAAATGCAAGTCAGCTTCTTACCTTACCTGGGAGAAACTCTGGTCTCTTCCTGACTGCTGCTATACGTGGTGCAAGGTCCATGGCAAGAGGATTTCCCACATCTCCCCACAGTGCTTGATTTGTCTGGTTTTGTGTCCTTTCCAGAGCACAAGACTTGTTCAATTATGATCTGATTTCTCACTGAGGGACTGTTGCTGTGAATTGGTGTATTTGTGGGACAAAGGAGGGCCCAGGCCTTGCTGTTCTGCCACCATGCCGGTATTGTCCTGCCATCATCATCTCTCTTCTCATCTTGCTCTGAGCCAGCTTCTCTGTTAATCATTAGGAACTGACCAACAAACACATCGTGGTTCTGTCTCCCCAAAATCTTACAGTCTAGCAGGCAATTAATTTAGTGGGACTAAGCTAACTGTAGGGCAAGTCAAGCTCCCTTTGGGAGTGATGTTGACAGGGAAGTCAAAATAGTATGGGGTCTAGATGCCAGGTTATATTTCCTGGAAGAACAAATGGGGAAAAAGCAAGAAACTATGAAAAAATGGAATTGGAAAGCAGAGCAGACAGATGACGACAAGCACATATTTCACCCAGAATGTGCAATATTTCAGATGCGATAGTATGCTTTTCTGTATTTGGAGAACTTCAGATGTGGCATGTGGAGGTCAAGGGAGGGAGAGTCATGAGGAGCTGGAGAGATACACAGGGGTCAGACAATGACACTAGGGTGAGCCACATGGAGGATTTCATTTTGAAGATAATCAGGGTCCTACTAACATGCTTCAAATGGAAGATATATAATTAGACTTGTGAATTATAAATGTTACTCTGTAGTCTAGATGAGCTGCAGTCAGGGATCCTGGTGAGGAGAACACTTGAGGTGGGGATCCTGGTGAGGAGAACACTTGAGGTGGGGATCCTGGTGAGGAGAACACTTGAGGTGGGGAT